CAATAAGTAATAAGCAAAAATATATCCAAAACCAGGCCAAAGATTGGCCGCGCCTACTCACCTAAGGGTGTTTTTTATTTGACTTCTCCATAATAATAGTGGTGACATAATACCTATGAAATAGCACACATGGAATCATGTAGGAACAGATCTAAATGCATATTATATTGTTCATTCTTTAGTAGCCACCGTCTGACTTAAAGACATATTTGCACGCTCTGCATTCTCTCAGCCAGTTTCATGAGGTAGCTTATACAGAATTCCATATGTTTCGTTTTACATCAGTTCAGATGTCTTCACTAAAATGCTTCAATGCGAAAATGTTTGAATGGCTGGACATTGAAATAGCTTGTGTCCAAACCTTTGACTAGAATAGTATATTTCAGGAAATTCAAGTAGAATTCAATAGATTTTGATATAATTTTGTGGTCCCATGGAGGACAGTAGAATTGAGCAGCACTGTACAGGTTTGGGGGGTGTGGATTTATGGGGGCACATAAATGTGCATAACAATTGTAGGAACCTGTTTTGGCTCAACAGCACCATTTTCACATCTAGTGGCCAGATCCTGGGAATGCATTATTAAGAGACTAAACCTTAAACAGAACTTTAAAAAGTATTGCACCACCAAGACTTTCAATCAATCAAATTTATTTGAGCCAATAAGATTATTAGTGTTTGATGGAATAATGAAATAGAAGAACTGATGGTTAGTGTTTGGGTACTGTGGGAAATATGTTGGCATAATAGTTGTGGGTTAGAGCTATAGCCCTCCTACACATGTATACTTCCTGGTTAAGTGAGCAGTGTTATAAGCAGGTTTTGTATGTTTCCTGTTCTCCAAAATGCAGTTTTATAGCATTGGCATACTTGTTATTGGCTTCATATAAGCATGAATGAAAAAACCTTAGCATCTGGCCCACCTATCTTTTAGCAAAAAATAATAATTTCATGCTTTTATGAAAGAAAAGGAGGAGAACCACCTGGCCCAGGGCTGCCAAATATGGCCCCTGAATGCCGCTCAGCTGCTAACTCTGGCAAGGCACACCTGCTCTGAATCAGGCCTCACCAGTGAGTGGATAAAAGGGCCCCAGAAAAGAAGCTCTAGACAGCAGTGGAAGAAGAGGAAAGAGTTTACAGTGCGACGCAGTGCTCCAACCTATGGGACTAAGTTTGGCATGCATTTCCGATCTCTCCTGATTTATGTTTGTAGATTAACATCTCTCTTCACCTCGCCTATCTTATCCTTTTTCTATTTTTCAAGTGGCGTTTTGGAAATGATTGAATAAATACACATGAACAATGCCCGGAGATCAGTAACTACGGGTCATTTATATCCTTCAATTTGAATTTGCCTTGAAGGTGCTAGTTTTTCTGGTAATTTGGGTGCAGACAGGCCATGAAACCCGAAATGACTGATATATGAGTACAATTATAAATTAAGTCAAGGTCTGAAGTTTGCTATGAAAGTATACAAAGTATATCCTTAACATTTTGCACTGTTTATTTTAAAAAGAAAGGTGTGTTTTTCGATTGATTCTCTCACCCTCAGGTGTCTAGTTGCAGATGAGTGATCTAGAACTCACAGTTAAAGGTATTTTGAAAGCCTAAACAGGATGTGACAAGTTATTGATTTGCTGAGATTGCTGTGTCACAACAGATCATGCAGTAGTGTTAAACACGAGGTACTCTCTTTCTCCTTTCTACCCATGTAACCATCTAACTTTTCCACCCTGTCCTGTCCCCTCGCTTGTTCCTCTCCCTCCATCCTGAATGAAGTCCTGGGTGAAGATTACTGAGCCATATTGGAGGTTTCCCCTTGTCAGTTGGTTATTTTCCTCTGCAGCGTCTACAGGCTTGTTAATGATTAATCACAGGGAAAACATATCAACCACAGCCAACGACATCAGGCAACCGCTGATCTGACCACACACACACACGTGGTCATACCCAGGCTGTGAAGTCCAGAGTGACTAAGATGTCTCTTTTTAAACACTGCGTGTCCTGAGACTCTAGGTATGTTGTGTTGAAGTATTCGCAGCGAGCGGATAATGTCAAGTGTCTACGGATGATTTCAAGTGTGTACGGATGATTTCAAGTGTGTACGGATGATTTCAAGTGTGTACGGATGATTTCAAGTGTGTACATGCTTGAGTGGTTTCTGGTACTTGTGTGTCAATTTGTTAGTCAGAAGTGAGTCAGAAGTTTCAGTGTAAATGCTGTACTCAGCAGTTCTATTCATGAAGTCGACAACGACAGGACATTAAAGAGCGAGGGAGGGAGAGAGGGAGGAAGGAAGCTGAAGAGCGGAGGCAATGAACGAGAGGAGAGAAAAGGCTGAAGTGGCTTGGATTGCCAGGATAGAAGAAGGCCTTGTTGCTGCCAGTACTTTTCCCTCCGTCCATATTTCATGTGTGGAAATGTTTGTACTAGGTAGGAGTTAGTGAGGGAGAGCAGAACTAGGTTGGGTTTCTATTGGACCAAGCAGGCTTTCCACAAACAATTAAATATTAACCGGGCCGTTCAGGTCGCAACATTCAGTTGAAATGAGGCTCTGCCAATGTTTCTCCACCAGCCGTTACCGGAGCTCATTGCCTATTTATGAAGTAACGGGACGCGGGGGGAACAGTGGCACCACACAGATTAGGCTGTATTACATCCTGCTTTAAAGGGGAGCTGTGGCATCCGGTCCATAATCTCTTGTGCGCAGGAGGTAGAAGAGAGATCTTCATCACCAGATTTGCTCACTGTGTCAACAACAATACATAGTTTTGAAGATATTGAAGCTGCGCTTGTCACCCCTCAAGCTGTTGATCTGTCTGCTTGATGCCGGGTTATTCAGGATCAGCGTACATTAGATGTAGATGCTGCACTAATACCTGTGCCTTATCACCATAACGTGAAGACACACCCCCCTCACCATAACGTAAAGACACCCCCCTCACCATAACGTAAAGACACACCCCCTCACCATAACGTGAAGACACACCCCCTCACCATAACGAGAAGACACACCCCCTCACCATAACGTGAAGACACACCCCCTCACCATAACGTAAAGACACACCCCCTCACCATAACGTGAAGACACACCCCCTCACCATAACGTGAAGACACACCCCCTCACCATAACGTGAAGACACACCCCCCTCACCATAACGTGAAGACACCACCCCCCTCACCATAACGTGAAGACACCACCCCCTCACCATAACGTGAAGACACCACCCCACACCTGAAGTAGCCCCCACACACACACACACACACACACACACACACACACACACACACACACACCCACATTCCTAACTTTGAGGTTAACTCCTCGTCCCTAATCCCTGTCTCAAACAAAGAGTTCATTGACAGTGTTGTTTCCCTTAAAACGTGTGAGCAATCAGCTGAGACCGATCACGCCCTAACTTTTGTAATGTCCCGTCTGTCAGGGCAGAAAGGTCCAGGTTCATGGGGTGTTATGTTAGCTACCAGGTTTTATTACCGGTCATTAAGTTGGACACTAACTTTGTTGGAACATTGGCCTGACGGCAGAGCTGTTTCTTTACTGTGCTGAGGCTATAGTTGTTGTTTGTGAATGAGGACCGAGTTAGGACAGTGAGTTATATTCTCTCAGATGAGGGGTTGGATGTGTTTATGAAGGTTGTTACAGGTTAAGAAAGCTTCATAAGTCTAGTTAAAACCATCCAAATAAAGCAGCTGGTACTGACTGCCATGAACCCATAGCACAGCGGAGGGCAGATATTTCAGCTCAGGGGCCACATGAGCACTTTGAAGGGCCACATTTGTTATTTAATTTGTTCATTCTAAAAGATTTGTGGGCCAGAAAAGGGCAATTATTAAAATGTATACACATAACATATATACAGGAGGTGTGTTATATCTAAATAACTTTAATTCAGATTCAGATACATTACAATTTGACTGCCAAGTTATTTTGTACTTCCTCTCAAAACTGTTTTAATACCTTCCGTGGGCCTGATGGAATTGCCTTGAGGGCCGGATTTGGTCCGCGGGCCATAGTTTGCCCACCCCATAAAATCAGTAAGACGTAACAGTAGGTCCAGCCCCAGTTGCTACAGCAGGGGAGGGCAAACTATGGCACCCTTTCTGCAGCCAAAAGTGGTATATTCCATAGATCCCAGAGGCACTGAACTCTGGAAGGAGGAGATGATGATGGAGAGGGAGGGGTCACACACAAATCACAGTGGAGGAAAGAGTTTTCGAGGGGGCTGATCTTCATTTTTAATTTATTGCCACTGGATTTTATGCCAGTCTAAAGATAGCTGAGCCTGTGTAGGGTTTGTATTTTGTGTGTTTTTTTCTTTGTTTGGGACGTGTGGTATTGTGACAGCTGCACTCTCTCTCTGGTAAAATAACATCCCTGGGAACTTCCTCACATGTAGCAGGGTTACAGGCGACGCCTTTCCAGTGGAACATGGCTTATTGTCGGACTTCAAAATGTGCGTGCGTGTGACAGCTGAAGAAAGTGTTTGTTATTTTCTGTCGGCAGGTTGGAGACTATACACATTGTCTGGAGTCAAACCGTACAAACCTCTGCACTGGTTTCCCTCTTTGTTTTCAGATTCCTCCCTCCTTGATGCAATCATGCCTTTTCATCGTTCTCTTGTCTTTCCGGCAGTCCGCTTTTCTTTTCCTGGGATCCAGGGAAAGCTGTTTCCTCTTGGTGTCCGTGTGAGTTTGTCTCGGGCCTTGCTGGGCCTGACCGCGCCTCGCCGGTCAGGAAACCCGGTGCTTGGCGAGGCCCACTGCTCTGATGGCGTGCCAGAACACACATGCAGTCGGGATGGCAGAAAGGGAAGAGAGGGAGGGGAACAAACGAAAGAAAGAAAAAGAGGGATGGAGAGGGAGGAGAGGACTTAAATTCTGGCTCATATAATACCAATGGCAACCCTCTTAACTGTTGCTTATGTTTTTATTTATTTAACCAAGTAGGCCAATTGAGAACAAGTTCGCAAAGGCGACCTGGGAAAAGCTGGGGATTGAATTGAACCCAGGACACCATACATACAAAGCATGCACTCTACCACTGAGTTACACCAACTGCTTATGAATTCCTTTTGATCGGGGCTTTCAGGGTAAACTGTTCAGTGTTATGTTCCAGTTAGCTTAAGGGTTAAATGGACTGGCTCAAACCAAGAGCCTAGTTTGAATAGCGTGAGTGTGAAAGGGGAGGAGGGGAAAAGATGGAGAAGAACCACTTAGTCTGCAGTTTTCCCTCTGTACTGTAAATGTATTGTGTATATATTGTGTTGATCTGTCTTTTCCTGTAAGTTTAAACTGATGACATCCCATACTAAATTACATCCCAAGAACACAAATGCTACAATCGACTGTGGATGGAGGTATCGGCTGTTTGTGTGAAACAACACTGGGTCAACCTGAAGCATATGGCTTCGTGGTCAGAGTGAGAACTTGTTACTTTGCACACGTGCAGCCACGCACACTCGATTCAACTTTTAAAAACTTTCGGGAGTATTTGTGAGAAGTGAAAAGTTATTCAAACGCACACACTCTCTATCGCTCTCTCTCTCTCTCTCTCTCTCTCTCTCTCTCTCTTATAAAGACCAAATAGGATTGTAAAAACAACTTCATGCTCTAGCTAATGTTTTTTTCTTTTTTTTCTCAGAGGGACAAGAGGGGGAGAGCGAGAAAAAAGATTGGACCCTTTAACTGTTGTTCTAGACTGTGATTGGTGAAAGCCTGTTGCTAGGCTTATGTCATTGTGTGAGAGGGAGTTTTTTTGCTTCCTCTCTCTGAGAAGCGATAGGTCAGGTTTGAACTGGTTAGGACTTCTACCACTTGTTGAACATCCCCACAGTTTTAAGTGTGTCTTCTCTCTTCTCTTTTTATCTGTGAAAAACACTGTGGCCACTTCTGGGGCACAAATGTGCACTGCTCTCCTTTCTCTTGTTGGTTTCATTTGTTTTCTCATCTTGTTTATTGGTTTAAGCTGCTTAAAAGTTTATAGTTTTCTCATTTGTTGTATTTTTAACAATGGCCTACTTTGTGTACTTTCTTATAAACTGCTATACTAAAATCCCTGCATGTTTAAATGCTACCTTTTCAATGGTTATTCTGTTTTACAGCCTATATTTTAATATAAAGAATGTTACTGCAAGTCCAATTTAATAGATCAAATGTTTTTTTATTGGATAATTGTCTTTTGGAAGCTGATGACACTGAAACTCTTCATTCTTCATTTTTTAGAGTCATTTTTCTACATCAGTATTCATGTTTTCGGGATCAACATTTCTGACTTCAAACCGTAGCTTGGACTAATGAGCTGGACTGATGTTTGCTCTTGTTCTTTATTTATTCAGGGCTCGCTTCAATGTCAATGCTTTTTATTCTTGTCGTGAACATTTTCGACAGAGACAAATTTGTTTTTATATACGTAATAAGAGATCTGCTAGTGAGCTATTTAACTTACATGGTCCTCTGAAACTCCAGACAACCAAACCAAATGCCATTTAACATTCTGATCAGCTGTTAAATATATGGTCTGTTTTTACCATTGTTTCAGTGTTATCTGCTCAATGTATTTCTAATAAGTTGTAACAATAAGATGTTATCTAATGTGGCAGCATGTCTCGTATCTACCAGGTGTGGGTGCAGCGTGTCTCAAGTGAGACCCATTATTCAGGCTCTGAGCGAACCAAGGATCAGGACTCTCTGGAGACCAATGTGTTTCTCTAAGGGCCCCTTTCCTTATACTGAGAAGTAATAGGATGACTTGTCAACCATTTTCAATGCCAATAATCCAGGCGTCCAAAGTCCCTTTTGAGAAAAGTGGCTAAAGGACGGTGGTTCATTCCAAATGTGATCTGACCATACTGAAGAGCTACACCGTCCAAATCCCGTTCCCTCAGAGATTCTCCCTCTGCGCTGATTTGCATTGTGGGAACCCTCTTCAGAAGGTCTACCCTGTAGGATCACCTACGTCCTCCGCTGATTTGCATTCTGGGAACCCTCTTCAGAAGGTCTACCCTGTAGGATCACCTACGTCCTCCGCTGATTTGCATTCTGGGAACCCTCTTCAGAAGGTCTACCTTGTAGGATCACCTACGTCGTCCGCTGATTTGCATTGTGGGAACCCTCTTCAGATGGTCTACCCTGTAGGATCACCTACGTCGTCCGCTGATTTGCATTGTGGGAACCCTCTCTTCAGATGGTCTACCCTGTAGGATCACCTATGTCCTCCGCTGATTTGCATTGTGGGAACCCTCTTCAGATGGTCTACCCTGTAGGATCACCTATGTCCTCCGCTGATTTGCATTGTGGGAACCCTCTTCAGATGGTCTACCCTGTAGGATCACCTATGTCCTCCGCTGATTTGCATTGTGGGAACCCTCTTCAGATGGTCTACCCTGTAGGATCACCTATGTCCTCCGCTGATTTGCATTGTGGGAACCCTCTTCAGATGGTCTACCCTGTAGGATCACCTATGTCCTCCGCTGATTTGCATTGTGGGAAACCTCTTCAGATGGTCTACCCTGTAGGATCACCTATGTCCTCCGCTGATTTGCATTGTGGGAACCCTCTTCAGATGGTCTACCCTGTAGGATCACCTATGTCCTCCGCTGATTTGCATTGTGGGAACCCTCTTCAGATGGTCTACCCTGTAGGATCACCTACGTCCGGCGCATTGCACTGTAGCAAATCATCACAATGTTATCAACCGCTTCCTGACAATCACCTTTGGCCTTGTCCCCTTTTCTGATGGTGTGTGTGTGTGTTTGGGGGGGTTCTGGGGCCCTGGCCAGGGATTTTATGTGAAAAGGTGGTGCCTGAGCTGAACGCTGACCAGGCCTCTGCTGTGCTGCAACTTTGCTGAGCCATGGGCTCACCCAACACACACACACACACACTGTTCTCACTGTGCGGGCTCACCCAACACACACACTGTTCTCACTGTGCCGCACGCTGATATGTCTGCCGGGACACTGCAGAGTGCTGACTCCGGCTCCCAGGACTTGTTTACCACGTCCCTCCGTCCCACCTCTGGGTGTTGTGTGTGTGTGTGTGGGCTGAGGGGGGTATTGGGAGAGAGGGGCACGGTCACACAAAGAACCTGCTGAATGGGGCGCTATCTATCAGCCGGGAGAACCTACTTACAGCCGGGCCGGTGCCAAATCAATCGTGGGCTCTTCATGGTAGCGTTGGATTGGCGCACAGATTATGCCATGTCAACCGACCATGCTCACTCATGCCAACACCTCTGTTGCCTCGGCCCAATTTCCGAAACTCACTGCCACCCCGCCTTGAATTTGTTAGTCGAGTTAGTATGATCAGCCTAATTTTGGTGTTGTGCAACGGTACGGGGAATTGGTTGTTGTTAGCATCGTAGCCCCTTGAAAAACAGTACATTCTGTACTGCACCAGCAAGCAATTATCCCAATAATTAATTTGTTATTCACATTTTTAAGATTATTGTAGAATATTTAGACTCTGCAAAGCCTTGAGTATTTAAATGTTGATCCAAGTCGCTTTTCAGGATTAAACAATCCAAAGAGCTGTAGGTGTGGCTCATAAATGACTTAATATTCAGGGAACATTCAAGTCAGAACACCAACACCGATGACTGGTGCATCATTCTCTTCAGGTTGCATCTATATTGCCAGGTTCTATAGCACTTGTCTAGTCTTATCTACTGGAAGGTAGGTTGGTCTGAGGTCTGATGGGTTTAGGCCAGGGCTGCTTAATCAGAGTTTTAATAATGGTGGAAAGTAGGAATAAATAATTTGCTGTTTGTTGATCTGCTCTGTCCTGTCTTTCAGGCCTAGGTAAACGTTACTATAATATGTCATATATAATAATATCTGCCGACCTGTTTACAGTTTTGACTCGGCTCGTTTGGTTCTCTTAGAAATCACTATTGCTACTTGCTGTATACTGTCGTGTTTATGTAGGCTAAATGACAGATTGGGACACGAGTAGATGGGCGCAAGCAAGCGCCAGTATACCTGGTTAAGGGATTAGGGTTAAAAAAACAAACCTGACAAAAATACGTGCAAACAGAAATGAATAGTAATTTGACAATTTGATACTATGTATCAATGTAATAAAGTAATCATTAAATAATATGTTTGCGCAAACTTGATTGGTTGGGACTGATCAACTGCAGAAGCTAGAAAAAAAAGGAGAAACTCGATTTCTAATGTTCTTGGAGACTCGCTCACGTTTAGTGTCTCTGCGCGGTTCACTCCTCCTTTTTCCATCCCGTTAAATCTCATTGGATGAACGGAGGTTGTTTTCGCCGTTTGATTGGCTGTTGCGTCCGTCCGTCACCGTGGGCTCGGCTTATTTACTGACTGTATGTGCTGCGGGTGAACGGTATTCTGCTGTTGTGGGGCTGCAACAGTCTGAGCACCCAGTGTCTCAAGGAACAAATAGAGGAAGGAAACAGACATTTAATATATATTTATACCCGAAAACACAGAATCGCACTGAGGACCCAATATGAGGCACGCAACTGCAGCAACAGAAACCATGGAAGATAATTCAATTATTGTGACAGACTTAAAGATATGCACTAGTTGTGAACGGCTGAGCAAAAAGGTAAGATTAAGGAAAACGAGAAACAAATGCTTTTGAAAATACATTTGTGTTTTTGTTACTCCGCGATGTCGTCGGTGTTTTCTTTAAACATTAATTTCATCATCATACTTTTCTGTGGCTGTGAGAACAGGAACTGCAGTCTTTTCTTTTGTGTCTGATGTTGTTTACGCGTTAAGAGTTTTTGCTTGCCTGCAGTCTATTTGGTCGTATGCAGTTATTGGCTTTATATTGGCAACTTATACATGTTCCTTGTGATGTCTTTGCATGTGAGCATGTCGTCTAGTTTTTCTTTCGATCATTTTCCATTCTCAGTTCTAGTTCATTCATTCAAGGTGGTTTTGGACCTTTAGACAATTGGCTGTTTTAATGTAAATACTTTTTATGTTAATACATTTGACGTTCTTAAGCACATGCAAGTTTTTCCAAAAACACATGTGAAAGCTCAGATAAATTGTTAGACTATAGCTTTTTAAAAACTTTTTA